CTGTGGACAGCCGTGGGCAAAGCCCGAATCCACCACTGGCCTCAGAACTCAGCCATTTCTCCCATTAGCTTGTTCAGTCCTCCCGAGAGCCCAGGGAGGAGGCCCCTGACTCCCATTCACAACCAAGGGGAAGGCGGACTCCAGGGAGCAACTTCTCCAGATCCCCAGACTTCTTGCTGTTCCCCCTGGAGGCCACTTCAGAGACGTGGCCTGATCATTCCTGGCGGATGATCATTCCTGGCGGATGATCAGGCGAGGGCTCAGGGAGAGGTCAGGCAGATTCCTGACCCTGCAGGGGGAGTCGGACTCGCCTGAAGGAGCGAGCAGACAGCACTTTGCAGTCAAGAGGATGCTGAGCCCTGGAGCCCTTGGACCTCAGGGTCTCCTGTGCCACTCGCTCTCTGTCCTGTGCCCAGGACAGATGGGTCCGGCCATCTGGGGACTTCCTTTCTAAGAGTCTGAGTGCATCAGTGACTGATGTTGCCTTGACTCTGGATCCAGGGCCTCCCTTCCTGCCCCAGGTTTTAAATTCCTCTTGGGAAGAACAGCTGGTCACTGTAGGGTCATGTGACCCTTGAACACCTTATGAGAAGATCAGCAKCACGGCACGGGCTGTGTCCTTCATCCGAAAACTTGGGACCAGAGTGTGGTAAAGTTTGGATTTTTTTTTTCCAGATTTTAGAAATGTTTGCATGTTCATAATGAGATATCTTGGGGATGAATGAAAACTTCATTTATGTTTCATATTAGTGTGTACACATGGCCTGGAGGTGATTTTATACAAGGATCTTACTAATTTTGTTGCATTCTGCCACCCATCGCAGGAGGTCAGGTGTGGAATTTTCCACTTGTCGGGTCCATGATTCAAGAGTTTCAGATTTGGGGCTTGTGCTAAGGATGCCCAAGGTCTACAGAGGAACAAGCAGGGCAGTCAGATGCCTGGGCCCGAATCCTGACTCCCTYGCACACACCAGCAGTGTGAACGCAGGCGGGTCCTATGCTGCTTCCTGCCTCGGTTTCCTCATCTGGAAAAGGACAGGGATAGCAGTGCCGTCTTGCAGGGCTGTTTGAAGATTTGATGACTGCCTGCACATGGAGGCACATGGAGCCGCGTGGGRCAGGCGTTGGCGCCATCTTAGCAGGGCCATCTTTGACCTGTACACATCTCTTGAGGCACTGGGCAGAGCCACCTGAAGGGACCTCAGGAGGACCTCATGCAGGCTGGGGCCATTCTGTCTTCTGAGTGGAGCTGTTTCATTTTTGGACTGCTCTAAGAAAATTCTTCCTACGTTTTGCCAAAAGTCACCTCCCTGCAACTCCTCCTCGTGGGCCCTGGTTCTGCCAGAAGGCAAATGTCAAACCACAGTCCTGAAGGAGAAGACCTAGGACATCAATAGTCCTGATGGAACTGGGCTGGGTGACGGCATCTCCTGCAGCGGCCATCCCCATGGCTCTCAGCCCCAGAGCCAGGTCCGGACTGAAGTCAAGGATCTTTCAGTGAAATTTGAAAAACCAAAAGTTCTCAGTTCTTGGATGCTTCTATTAGCAAAGCATAAAACAGCTTCTTTCTCCACTCTTTCAGCCCAGAGCGTGCTGCCAGACTGGCAGGAGGCCAAGGGGAAAGGCACTCTCCTGGTGCAAAGATGACAGTCACACGGCTCCAGAGCCATGACCTCACCTCAGTTAATACGTGCTGTCCGGCCTGTAATCACTGAGCATCCAGGGAGTGGGCCAGCGAGGTAGCCACCCGCGTCAGGCCTCCTGTTTACAGAGCCTTTCTGGCGTCAGGTGTAAAATCATGACCCGCGAGTCCCCTTCCTGCCTCGCCTGGCAGCCCTCTGGAAGCTGGCGTGTGCGCTGTGACACAGGAGGAATGCACCCGTCCTTTTTTAGATTGATTTGATAGCTTGGCTCTCTGATGACTCTGGTGAAAAGCAACCTGTACACTTGAAGTTCACAGCATCAGAGTGGGGGACCTGCATCAGGTGCCTTCGGGCCGGGCGGGGGGGGGGGTTGGTCTCTGGAGTGTGGGCAAAAGAAGGGTTGCATTATTTTTCTAAATCAGAGGTCATCTGGCTTTGATGTCCGGCAGTATCAGTCACTATTTGGTTACTTTGTCCATCCAGCTGCTCATCCAAGAGGAAGCATACTTTGGGGCACTGTGGCCAGRCCTCTGCTGCCCTGGCTTCTGGGGCTGAGCACTGCTGGAGCTGAGGGTCCTGTGGATCTCAGGCTCTTGCGAGTGCTCCAAGGACTTGGCCCCAGAAATGCCCCTCCCTGGGTCAAGRACCCACGGGTGTCTGCAGCCTCTGTCCTTCCCTGCCCAGGTGCCGTGTGCAGCAAGGCCTCGCTCCAGTCCYGGTGTGCCCCCACCCTTTCCCCCTCGGGCATGCAGAAGCACTCTGCCAAGGCTGCCCTCTGCCACTTTGCATGAGCCTCCCTTCCTCCCTCCCTCACCAAGGGACAGTCCAATGACAGCAGTCCACCCTTATTCAAGGGGGATGTATTTCAGGAGCCCAGACGATGCCTGAACCGGGGAGCAGTACCAAACCCTGGACCTACTGTTTTTCCCCAGACGCTTAGAGCCACGAGAGTTTAGGGCCGTTTCCATCCTGACCAAACCCTACACCCTACGGTGGCTACAGCGTTTGCAGCGTGAGGTGGGAGAGCGACGGGGCGTGGGTTTCTTTCCCTTCTTCGCTGCATCATGGACAGACGCTCCTTCTTACCCACAGATCTTTGCAACTTCAGTTCATGGTTTGTTTCCTTCTTAAGTCAAGAACTTTCCCTTTTCCTCTCACAGGAAGCGCTTCATGCCTATCTGATTGCCAGYGTCCCTGCTCTTGTGCTCAGGGGCCATTATTAAGTAAAATAAAGGCCGCCTGCACACAGGCACTGTGATCTGATGGCAGGATGGCTGGGAGGTGACTAAGGGCAGTGAGGTCCTCGGTGTGAAAGTCCAGGACGGTGTTCCTGGTGTGTGACTTGGGTGGATGGAGCCCAGTGCCATTTAAAATGTAGGCACTGCTTACTTGTGGAGTTTTCCCTTCACATTTTCAGGACAAAGCAGGCCGCTGACAGCTCAGGAGGGAAATGGGGGAAGGGCCCAGAAAAGAGAGCTTTGGACCTCCAGGACCCCAGAACTTTCAAAATGGGGAGGTGCACATCGGAAAGGAAGCGGTGTGCTTCTCCCTGATGTGGGGCAGGACCTCGGCCAGCCACACACCGGAGACACAGCCCAGGCTTCCCAAGCCCTGTCCCGGTGACCTGGTTTCATGTACATCACTGAATCCTGTCAGGTGCTCCAAGTCCAGGTTATCATCCCATCTCTGGGTCCCAGGGTCAGCCAAGGTCGCCTGAGCATCTCTTCTCAGCAGCAGGTTCTGAGGGCTCCATTCCCACAAAGTTAGTCAGCTGGGGACCCGCAGCTGCCATTCCTATTCCTCTATGTGCAGGGAGGGGTCAGGCATGTGACCCAGGCAGGGACAGCTTGGCCTCCATTCTTTAGAAAGAAAGCATTGTTTTTGATCCAGACAAATTTTATGTTTTCTGCATTTTAAATATTGGCTAGTGTTAGTCCCTCCTCGCTTGACCTCAGGCATCAGGGTGGCCTTGTCCCCTGAGACCTCTTTTGTGAATCTGGGGACCTGCCTCCCAGGGCTGTCCTCCCTGGGCCTCTGGGGCACAGAGGCATTGAGTTTTCTCTCCRGCTTCTCTGAACACTTCTCTCGTGGGCTATCCCCGGCCACCTCTCCTCCCTCCTCCCCACAGGTGGACCCGTCCAAAGGTTCTGGCCTTGGACCTCCCGCCTTGGGTCATAACTGCTCCCAGTTTACTGAGGGCATGAACTCCCTCCTGAATCAACAGAGGACGCTGACTCACCAGCAGGGGACCTCCTGGGCAGCAGACCTCTCTACTGTGGAGTGCCATCTATGGCCACACCCCCCTCAGAGCCAAGCACCTCTGACCTGTGCTGGCTGCACATCACCCAGCACCCCCTTCCCCCSGGGCTCCTGCCCAGCCCCTTCTCCGTCTTGCTCCCAAGTCACAGGAAGCTCTAGAAGACACAGGCCCGCAGTCACAGGCTCTAGCCACTCGCCTCTCACTCCTTCCTGGCAGAACTCCCAGCTCCTGCTGTGGGAGGTCTTTAGATGGCCTCTGATCCCCTGTCCWTCTTCCTTCTCAGGAACCCATGCGGAAGCCAGGGGAACAGGCCTCCTGAGCCGCTGCTCCTCTGCCTTTCCATTCTTGCTGCGTCTCAGGGGAAGGTCCCCCTTCTCTCCCTCCCAGGCCCTTGCCCACCCAGCCCTGAATCTCTCTGGCCTCACTTCCTCCCCTGCACAGGGGAGCTAATCGAACCGGTCGTGGGCACTGGAGTAAAGATGAGGGGACATGGTGACACGTGTCACCTAGAACCTCATGAAGAGGTGATGGTGATGGTGAGGATGGTGATGCCCAAAGTGGACTGTCCCTGAGATGGATCAACCTGAAGTTCTCCCCTTTGACCCACAAGGGGACGCAGGTCCACACACAGCTCGCTACACCAAGCCTGCGGCTTGAGCTGTGCTCCAGCACCTTCATACACCCGAGGTCAGGTCAGAGCACTGCCATGTCGTGTCCTGGTGTCTGGAGCTCCTCCTTCCTCATGAGTCTTTTCTTGGTTCTTCTACCCCTCCACAATGTGCAGAATGAAAAGGTGGCCTGTCCGTCTCTAATGCTGGGTTGGACCCATCACCCTTGCTCTGTGCCCTCCCACTGCTGAGAGGTTCCCCAATGCTCCTCCRCCCGAACCCCGCCATCCCACAGTGCCCTGCCAGTGTCTCCCACGTGCCAGGCCCAGTACTAGATGCCCATGTAGGAGCCATGTTTACTGAGCACTTACTGCGTACCAGGCACTATCCCCAGCACGTCTCCGAGTGGACTCATTAGCATATGCTCATTTACATACATTTTGCATATATGGAAATTTCATCCTCATAACAGATCTGTTTACTCCTCAGAAAACTCCCGAGAGGCAGCCGCCATAGGATGGCCTGGTCACAACCGAACTGAGAGGGTGAGGCTGCCCCGGTGATCCCGCCCTGCAGTACAGAGGCCGCCGTGGTGGCCCCGATGCCCAGGCTCTGCAGCGGCCACGCACGGCATCCCAGGACACTGCTCTTACTTGCAGCACAGCAGCAGCTGGYGAGAAGGGTGTGGAGGAAGAGGCAGGCGGCTGGGGAGGTGCCCAGAGGACTGCCCACTTCCGGGGGAGCAGGCCGGAGCCATGGTTACCTAAGGCCCGGGAGATAAGGAGGCCAGTTGCGCAAGGCGCAGGCGGAGGAGCTTCCCGTGACTCAACGCCCTGCCCTCCTGGATGAGGGCCCAGGGGAGAAGCCACAGGGGATGGAACTGGGATGCTCGGTGGAACTGGAACAGGGACTGGGATGGGGTTGAGTCTGAGTGTCCAGGGCCCCGGTGCCTCGTGCACCCTCCAGGGTTCCCACGGAACCTGCACAGATGTGTGCGCTGGTGTGAGGGAGTCTGAGCCCAGGAGAGCTGGGCCTCCGGACCAGCACCGGAGCTCCTGCTGGGTGGCAGCTTCGTGGTGAACTTGAAATTGCACCTAATTAAAAGTTACCCCCAATACACACACACACACACACACACACACACACACACATACACACACACGGCAGCAGCACAAAGTGGAGACTCGGAACAATCTTTAAAAAACAGGGTTCTCTAAGAGAGACGGGAGTGGGGGAGAGATGGGAAGGAGAAGGGAGGGAGGGGGAGGGAGGACGGGGAGGGGAGGAGGGGAGGAGGGCTGCTGGCCCTTCTTGAACTCCCCTCCCCCCCCAGTCCACTCTTCCTCTCCCACTTTGGCCTCTCATTTCTGGGTTGGTAACTGGCGCTAAGTCTGCCCTCCATGCCGGTCAAACTGGGGTTGAACTGCTGGCCTCCCACCATGTCCTGCCTTCAGCRACCCAGAGGCCTTTGTTCTCCCTTGCTGGCCACTGCCTGGAGTCCTCAGGAAGCCCAGTGCTGTCCCCAGCCCTCCCCCTCCCTCCTTCCTCCAGCGTCCACTCTGCTGCCACATCTGATTCCTTCTCCCTGTGACCTGCCCCTCCCCCGGCTTTTGTAGTTCTCACCGCCATCAGCTCATCCTGGGGTCTCTGCGGTGGACTCCTGCCTGGCCACCTGTCCCCTGGCTGACTGGAGCCCCTCTGAGAGCTCCTGCCTGCCGTGTGTGTGTGTGTGTGTGTGTGTGTGTGTGTGCCCTCTGCAGCCTGTCTCTGACTCCTGGCGGGAGCCACCCTCCTGCCTCAGCTTCCCAAGTGGCTGGGACTTCAGGTGTGGGCCACTGCGGCTGGCTCCTGGTTTCCTCATAAAATACCAAACAGGGCTGGGGATGGGGCCCTGACTGTTGGGGGAAAGCCTTCTTTTGGGAGAGGATAAAACTGTTGTAAAATCGACTGTGATTAATGCAAACACCTAGCAAAGTATGTTTAAATTAAAACGTTAACAGTGTTGTCTTCAAGTGTGGGGTCATCCTGAGTCTCCACTTGTGGTTGGCAGCATGCAAAAGGAGACATTTATGTAATGCACATATGCATTTATATTACACTCTATATAATATTTGTCTCTTTCAGGACCGTTTTTAAAACCCCTAAGTCTAAGGACTCTTTCAGGGTGTGCCCCCGACCCCCAGCCAGGCCCACACCTAGCAGGCACATCAAAATGCACCCAGACTCCACCGTCACTCACTTCTCCTTCTTTCCATGGAAATACAAGAAACAATGCTGAGAATTTTGCTCTTGAAGTTATTAGGCTCCACACCACTCATTTATAATGGGCTGTCAGCATGCAACTTGGGGATTTGTGCTGGGGGAGAAGAGGTCCCCTGTACATAGCCTTCCAAAGTGATGAGACTTTTATGGATTATAAATTGTAAACTAACAATGTTGACATAATGTTGCATTTTATAAATATTTAAATATTAATTAAAAAAATTTTTTTAGGGTTTTGTTTGGTTTTCCGTGCCAGGGATCCAACCCAGGGCCTCAGGCTGCTAGGTGAGGGTGTACCACTAAGTTGCATCCCCAGCCCAAGTTTGTTGGTTTCTGTTTCAACGAGAGAAACTTGACTTCACACAGGTTCAGAGGCGTCTGCCACCAAAGGCTGGTGTAAACGGCAGTTCTGGTTTAACCCTGCATCCGTGTACACATTTGAAACTTCGAAGCAATGATCCATTTCTGCTAAAATGTAGATTAAATCCCTCCATTGGCCGATTTTTTGACATTTGTTGCAGACCTTATATTTGAGTTGTAGAGACTGAATTTTCTGTCTTCATTTTTCCTTTGGTGGTGTTGGGCATCTAACCAGGGCCTCGTGCACACTAGGCAAGCACTCTACCACTGAGCTGCAGCCCCGGCCTGAGGCTACGTTTTTCTCACGCGGGGCGGGGTGGTGGGGATAACAAGATAGCTTCTACTAAGATAATGAGCTGTGACATTTACTCCCCAGTATTTCTTTGGCAATACACATACAGGCTGCTCCATTAGCCAGCTTTCCATTACTGTAACAAAATACCTGAGATAATCAACTTATAAAAGGGCAGGTTTATTTTGGCTCACAGTTTTGGAGGGTTCTGTCCAYGGTGGTTTGGCCCTGTGGTTTCTGGGCCTGTGGTGATTTTTCAGTCTTTGTCTGCTGCGGGCTTGCTGGTCTCTTCTCACCTAAACCAACTAAAAGTCAGCATTTCCTGACTCTTCAGTCAAAGCCAATATTGTCTCCTACTTCTGTGCACATGGGAGTTGCGTGACATGAATCCGCCTGAACCATAAATGGAGCTCAACAAAACCAAACACTGTCACATTCTTAAAAAAGTAATCAAAATAACCTTTTATCAACTGTTTTGTTAATGAAGCAATTCTAGTTTATTTAATTATCCACTAAGAAAAGCCCATTTTCATGATTAGGTCTCCACTCTGCCCAGTGTTTATATGTCCTTGCCAACCCCTGTTGACTGACACAAAACCCAGAAGAGGAGTTCCCCTCCCAAGACACACTAGCCTTGCTCATTTTATTTCTTGTTTTTTTACGCCAACTGCTGCTCAGCTTGTGGTCATCTTGGATCCCRTGCTCTTTACCTTCTGACCTCAATTTTAGTTAAGTGCTTCCCCATCCCGTATTGGAATGATCACTTTTCTCTGCTGTCACTACTGCCTTGTAATTCCAAGGAGACKTTAAATTTTATTCTTATTTTACATTTGAATAATTAAAGGTTCAGTGAATGCGGATTTTGGCCACATGTTGGATATTTAACCACGGGAGCCAATATCTGACTTCAGATAAATATTTCTCATGAAATCAACCTCTGGGACATAATTAGCCGTCGGAAGCTTTATTTTTAATATTTTCAACTCAGAACTTTTTTGAAAGGTTCAGCTTCACGGTGTGGAAGGACCCACGGTGGCTGCCGTGGGGCCCTCGGGACTCCTGCGGGGGAGGTGCGCTGTGACCACAGGCTCCCTCCAGCTGGAGGTGGACCAGCAGGGCTGGTTTGACGCTTCTCACTTCCCCCTGATGCTTTCCTTTCGCACACCTTTTGTCTAGAGAGCAGATAAGGGTCATTGACATGTCCCCGGGTTCTGGACTTTTCTTTTTGTGAAATTTGGACATTCTCCTTTTAATCCATCCCGCGAGGCAGGAAGATTTCCTTAAGGGGCTTTTCTCCAAGGGACTCCTCCTCTAAATGGATAACGATGAATGAAAAACAGCTCTCGGAYGTCTGAGGTCGCAGTATAAATGCAAATCGCTGACCTAGCCCAGGACAGTCGGGAGGACGATGTCATTGACCTCACCGACTGCCATGTGCACTTTTGACACCTTTGTGGCACGTGCTCTTCTTAGGGTCAKCCGACAGTGGCCCGTCTTCACTCTKCCTGTGGCCCACCTGTTTCCCTCTTTGTTTACCTTTGGGATGTTCTTCAGTGTCTTGGCACAAGACCCACGTCTCTCCCGGTCATCAGTTACCGTAGCAGTTCTTACTTGAAGTAGGAGCACGTGTATCTTCTTGGGGTGACAGAATTTTAAGGTAATAGCACCTTGGAGGTWTTTTCTCCAGGGGGGCATCTCAAACACTTTCCTATATTTTAAAAGGCAACAGACCCACAGTCTGCAATGCCCTGACTAATCCTCATCTGTGACCCTGACCCTGAGCTCTCAGGGACGGCCCCAGCCTTTGCCCCACATGCCCAGGTTCAAAGGAGACAGGACCTGTCGGGGTGGGCGACTGGTTCCCATCCCCAAATAATAGATTTTGGCCAAATACTGGGCCAAAGCTCAACTTGGGACCATCCCAGGTCCAGGACCATGTGGCTGTGGCCTGGGGTGAGTGCTCAGTGGGCGTGTGCCCTGGGAGCAGCTTCTCGGATCCCTGGTCTCCACAGCCGTGAGATGGGAGGTGAGGACCTGCGCCACCGGCTGTGGCAAGAGCTCAGCGAGGGAATGCCCCCGGGTGCTTCAGGATGCGTCCGCTGGAGTGGGTTCTGTGCGCTGTTCCTGTCATTATTGGTTTGGAACCAGGGAGTCTTAACTCGTGATTTACTGCTTTTAAGCAACTCGATTCTCAAAATGATGAAGGGAGAAAAATCAGACCTCAAGAAACAAAGTTTGGAGCACAAGAACCTTCTGGATTGTTAAGATGATTTCTTCAAACAGCAGAGTTGGTCACGATTCCTGTCCTTCTTTGTCCTCCTCAAGGGTCTTTTCTTGACCTGAGCACACTGCTCTGGACTCTGAACCGTGGAGACCGCCAACCACACACAGAGCAGCGGAAGAGCCCAGCRAGCCAGCCCCGCCTGCCCACCCTGCCTTCCGCGCCTCCACACCCACTCCAAGCCCCAGAGTCACCGGCAGGWGACGTGACAGGCCAGCAGCTGAGTCACACCTCCGCCCGAGAGATGGGCAGAGGGAGAAGGAATTTAGCTCCTAGTGCAGATGTTCATGGCCAAGGACCATTGTTCACACTCTTAACTCCTGATAGAGGACGCGGAACGGGTCACCTCAGCGGCCATGGGTCACCTCGGCGGCCGTGGTCCTGGCTGAGCTCACCAGGGCCGAGGACTTTTGCAGCCAACAGATCAAATCAAGCTCGAAACCCTGGGAGGTCAACAGACCAAGTCAAACTCGTACCCGTGGCCTGGGCTGCACCCACATGGCCACCTACAGAGAGCAGGCCCRGCAGTGCCCCGAGCCTCGCCATCTCTCAGGCTCACAGACAGCGCAGTTCAGAAGGGGAGTTCCACAGGGGGCACCAGCAGGGACGGCGGTGAGAGGCGGCCGGCGTGGACTTGCCACGTCTTTGTCAGCTGGGACCTTGGGCATCTTTCTGGTGTTGCATGAATCACCAAAGTCAGGAAGGATTCTACCCAGTGAGACCCGTGCCGCTGCCTCGCATTTGTGGTCTTTACGAGATGTTCTCGTTGTTGTCAGGGCCACAGGCCCAGGAAGTGAGGGCAGGAAGGGGGACGTCCACTGAGCACCTGCTGGGTCCAGACTCTCTCTTGCCTGCCAAGAGTCCAGGTATGATCGTTCTTGGTTTCCAGAAGGAGAAACAGCTGGAGAGCTTAAGGAATTCACCCCAATCACGCAGCTGGAAGGGGCGGAGGAGGACTCGACCCTTTGCTTCCCCCAGCACCACGCTGCCTGTTG